CTTTACTAGGAGTAATATACTTCGTATATCGGTTGCTTCTCTATAACCCATCAACAACTACACACATCTACAATTTCCTAATAACGAATTTAAATATATTTCAATTGTTAGACTTAGCATTGATAATCTAAATTGTCAGTAAAATACTAAAATATACGGGCCTGTTTACTAACAGAGATATTTTCCAGTTTTCCAGAAAACTGGAAAACAGAAAACAGGAAACGTGTTTACCAAAGAAATTCCTGGAAAACTGGAGAAAGGAAAAACGAAAAACGTGTTTACCAAATCGTTTTCCAAAACGGAAAAAATGAGACATGTCTCTCTTTTCCTTAATGATTTGGAAAACGCAGATGCTACAGTGCCGCTGCAATGAATTTGCATACTTACACCTACGGGTGGGTCCGGTCCCGCTTCGATGTTGATTCCATTCCGGTACCTCCATCCTCGTACCCTACCCCTTACCCCTACCCAACCCTACCCTACCCTACCTACCCTACCTTACCCACCCAACCCCGCATACCCATTTTTCCCTATAATGACCCTACCCCACCCCCTACCACATGCCCCTACCCCGGCCCCACCCCCGATCCACCCTACCCTACCGCCACCCCCCTACCACCTCAACCCCAACCCACCCTACCCCACCCCCACCCGTATATTACCCCTTACCACATGCTCCTAGCTCGGCCCCCACCCCACCACCATCCTACCCCCCACCCTCGTACCGCCATCCTACCCCCCACCCTTCCGCCATCCAACCACCATTCTACCCCCCCACCCTACCCTTCCCCTACATCGGCCCCACCCAGATCCCGGGCCCACCCTACCGCCATCCTATCCCACTACCCCTACCTTACCCCAACCCTACCCCCACCCCCTACCCCTTCCCATCCTCAGCCCCACCCTGGTCTCGGCCCCACCCTACCGCCATCCTATCCCAACTCCATACCCTACCTCTACCTTACCCCAAACCCTACCCACTACCCCACCCTTACCCCTAACCCACCCACTACCCCCACCCAACCCCCTACCCTTAGACCTTACCACCCCACCCCGACCATACCCCTTACCCCACCCCCACCCATAACTTCCCTACCCCGACCCCTACGAGTAGGTATGGGTGGGTATGAAGGGTTGTGGGGGAGTATGGGTAGAGTGTAAGATCATGGTAAGGGTAGGGGTCAAGGGTGTGGAATTGGAGAACTGAGTGAAAAAATTGATGAACATGTTTTCAGATTTGAAAATGGAAAACTAAAAAATAGAAACAGAAAATTTGAGATAGAAAATCTGAAAAATAAAAACAGAAAATTGGAGAACGAAAAACAGAAGTAGAAAACAGGAAAATATCTCTGTTAGTAAACAGGCCCTAAGATTTTACCTTACGTGGTATCTTGACTTCAATTTGAACTAATCCTCATAATGTAGTATGAGATTGACATTTTAAAATTCAAACTCTTACGTGGTATCTTAACTAATGAAGTTGTTCAACACAATTAAATCTTGACAAGGCTCAACAACGCTTAGATATATTTCAAGATTGATCTCCTACCATAAATCGTGTGTATTTCAAATTAAAATTGGTCTAATCTAATGATTCAACTGAACTAAAAGATAGTGATGGAGTATATGGACTCCGACCCCCCGGTCTGCCGACTATTGGGCCTGGACAGCGGCTCACACACGTTTTAAGGGTTCTTATTATTGTATATTATTATTCAGATGTTCTAGATTAGCTTTTGATACTATCAGTCCATTTATGTAACCGCGTCTGTCAGGCCCATATTAGAGGCCCAGACCCGGATTTTCCCTATATATACTCCTTATAGGAGGCTTGTAACTCATATAACAAATATTCACTCTTTCTATACACTTCCATTACTCCTTTTGATTCTTGTTCAATTTCTCCTGTTTATACGATATGGGTATCAATTATCCAACAATGGTGCTCTCGTTGAGAGGTTGAACACAATCAAGTGAGAAAACCTCCCTAAAATATCCAAAAATCATCCTAATCAACCAAAAAATTCATCCGTATCACAGAGAATCAACCAAGAAACTGTGCTGGAAAGTTCAAAAAAGAAAAAAAAAATAGCAAGCAGAGATGGGGAATTGGGAATCTGGGATTTCCCAGACTTGGCCGGAGCAACCGTCATCCCACAGCTGTGTCCAAGGTCGTGTCGCCCTGCACTGCGTCCCACACCAAACCATTGTTGCCGCCAGCTGGCCACCACTGCCACGGATCTCGCCGACCACCGTGAGTCACCGGCCATAGTTTTCAAATCGGGATCTTCAAGTTCTGGGTCTGGAAGAGGCAAGCCTTGCAAGTGCGGCTCCTCCACCAGATCTCACCGGTACAGGTCCAGACCTCCCTGCCGCTGCACCAAATCTTTCGTCCATAGTTTCAGATTTCGTGGCTGGCCAGCTGTTGTTGCTCCGGCCGTCGTGGTGTGACGGGACCAAAGTCAGCACCGAAAAGCTTAGATCTCAATAACCTGGTGTAGGCCTCGTTTCCTCCTCCCTCCTTTACCGACCATGCTTTGTCTACCAGGCCAAACACGTGGAGCCTCGACGAGGATCTACACGGGATGAAGCTGGTTTGTCGCTGCTCCGGGTTCGCCGCCGTTTTCACATCTCGCTGCCGCAGAACCGTCGCTTGCAGGCTTCTTCCATTAATGGCGATGACGAACTCCCAGCGCGAGGCTGGCGCTCAAGATCTCGCCGATGACAGAGAAATGTCACGCAAAGAAGCGGCCCTGATGGACCCTCTTCCTCTCTCCGGTGGCAGCCAGTGACGACGACTGACGATTTTTTTTCCAGTCCGGTGACGTCCCTGCGCGAAGAAGAGCTTGGCTTGACGGAGGAAGTGGCGAGCATCTTCCTCACCTTCTCCGGCCTCACTTATCCAGCATCGTCCCTATCCCCTTTGTTTCCGCCGGCAGCGAGGGGTTGAGTGAGTCCCCAGCACTGCGGATATCATCTCAGCGGAAGCCCCTTTGCTTCCAGATCTAAGAGTTGCACCGATGTGGACCAAGCTTAGTCAACAGGCTCTTTTCCAGTTGAAATGGGCCTAGGAATTAACAAGATCCTATACAAATCTCAACATCAGCCCACTTCAAAAAGATAAGTACTCTTTAATTTTCATATTATTTATTTTTATTTAAATTAATTTTTTGTCAGGCAAGCATCACACTATCACGCACTTATGATCAAATACCTAGTAGAGTGTGGCTTGAGACCCATCACTAGGATTTAAAGCCCTGACTCCTCAGGCACAAAGCCCTGACTCCTCAGGCACAAAGCCCTGACTCCTCAGGCACAAAGCCCTGTCTCCTCAGGCACAAAGCCCCGACCAAGTCGGGCATGAAGACAAAACCCCGACCAAGTCGGGTACGAAGACCGGTCTTACGAATGGCGACCGTTGCTTACGAATGGCTCACACATCCATTCTACTAAGTATTTTATCATTACATTAACAATTCACATCTCCACTTGTTTCAAGTGACGAACTCCCGATCGAGAACATAAATCCCAAGAATTTTTTTTATATGTATGATAAATGTGTAGGTACGAAGATGACTTTACTCATTTTCACCTCGTCTCCACTCGCCTCAAAGAGTGGGTACTGGGGGCCTGAGGGGTCAGAGTTTCTAGATGAACAGAAAATATCACGCAAGAGCAGGAACGAGAGCTGAGTCAGTTGAAGAGGAGCTGAGCTAGATTGATTATGCCGGAGGGGATTTACCTTCCTTGTTTCATGTTGGGGGCGCTAGGTGTACTCTTTTTCCCTTTATTAGGATTTTTTCCCACTGGGTTTTTCCTAGTAAAGGTTTTTAACGAGGCACCTCCCCATAATGGACAAGGGTGGTGGTCCCCCGACCGAAGAGGAAGAAACCAAAGACAGAAGAACGTTGCAGCTACAGTTTGGACTACTCCCTTTCACCTCGAGTACTCTCGGCTCAGGGAGTGGGGGACTCCTGATGGAGTATATGGACTCCGACCCCCCGGTCTGCCGACTATTGGGCCTGGACAGCGGCTCACACACGTTTTAAGGGTTCTTATTATTGTATATTATTATTCAGATGTTCTAGATTAGCTTTTGATACTATCAGTCCATTTATGTAACCGGGTCTGTCAGGCCCATATTAGAGGCCCAGACCCGGATTTTCCCTATATATACTCCTTATAGGAGGCTTGTAACTCATATAACAAATATTCACTCTTTCTATACACTTCCATTACTCCTTTTGATTCTTGTTCAATTTCTCCTGTTTATACGATATGGGTATCAATTATCCAACAGATAGTCTTATTCAATTGACTACTAAGATTGAATCCGAACACTTAACAAAAGCTTAGCTAAATATCTCTAATAATAATTGAAGTTAGGTGCCATGAAATGTTTTTTTATCATAGGTGTCATGAAATGTTGAAAATAAGAAATTCTATGTTTCATTAAAGAATCTTTTACTACAAATGTGTTTTATTTTGGTTTGACACGGTCATTAATAAAAGAGTTGAAAAAATAAAAGTTTTGATTGATATTTGAGTATAATAAAAATGAAATGGTGTGCATTCTATATCTCTTTCCCGTATAGGAAATATTCAACTTATTTTAAGATAATAGTAAAATTAAAGAAAAATAAAACTTGGTAAAATATGGGAGAGTACTAAAGCATGGAGTAATAACTTATAAACAAATGTAAACAAGAAAGTGTTTAACAATATGTAGTGTTGTCCAACGTGTAAATTATCAAACGTGTAAATTGAGTTCCGCAAATGAAACAAGAAAGTGTTTTCAAACAAATATACTACCTCCGTTCTCTTTTAGTTGCAACATTGGACTTTATGCACTATTCACGTATTCTACTTTGACTACATTTTATTAATTCATGTATTATAAATTAAAATTTTAAAAAATATTGTTAAATTCTTCTCATTCTAAATTTTCAAAATATGAATTTTTTAAATTTTTTACTAATACGAAATGAAAGATATTAATGGTCAAACTTGTGTGTTGGCAAACGTGAAATGTTGACTGTTGCAATTAAAAGGCAACGGAGGAAGTACTAGCTAGCTTAGCTAGTAGTTCCGGCCAAATTAAACAAAGAGAGCGCTAAGGCCGCAGCCACGGCCACCCATGCGTTGAGAGAGAGAGAGGCTGAGCCGCTCTTCTTGTCATCCGAAGGAGATTGCTCAGGGCTGTGATGATGATCACTCGACGGGGCCGGACCGGGAGGCGGGATGGGCGAAGTGGACGGCGGGGGCAATGGAGGACTCTGCTGCTGCTGCTGCAGACTCACCGGAGATGGAGCTGGCGCCGGCGGAAGCTGTGGCTGATTAGCCGCCAGCTGGGACGGCGAGGGGGCCGGAGCTAAATTAGAATGGACGAAGACTTGGAGCTTTTGGCCGGCCTGACAGCGGCCGGGGATGCTGCAGATGAAGTAGGCGGGGCCGGGGGTGTCCAGCGTGAAGGCCTCTATGCCGTCGGTGGGGAGGCCAATCGGCGATGGGGCAGTGCATGCCGTGAAATCTTCGGCAGTCACTCTGAACACATTATCGTTGCTTGGATTGAACCTGAACACTATCACCCAGCATGTAACATTACTATTCTTGTTAATTAATGTTATTGTTATGCTACCTGTTACTCCCTGATTATTAAATAAAATGACAATGTGCATGCATGATCAAAATAAAAATGATGATGGCATAAAATGTTACTCCTTTTGTTCCTGAATTATATTCTAATTTTACTCCTTCATAATAATCTTTTTTTTATTTTGATAAAGAATTCGTGCTTCACGGAATTTCTCACACATTTATTTCTATCATACAATTCCCATTTTTTAATTTAGGAATGGGAAAGTAGTACATGCATTTTTACAAAGTGATTATATTAAGGGAGCTTCCTCTTGTACACTTGTACCCACCATGTCTTTATAGGCTTATTTTTGTCTATAACCGAAATTCACAGAAAAAAAAAAACTCTTCACAGTCATGGTCGGTACAGAAGTGGGTACAATAGTGGGTACACATAGTTTTTTTTATATTAATAAGTTTTAGTAATTATATATGTTTAATTTAACACTACACTGACTTTATCATCAACATCACCACCATTTTTATGAATAATACTCCCTCCGTCCCCTTTTAAATGGGACGGGAGATGGTGGCACAGGTTTTAAGAAAAGTGAGTTTGTGTGGTTGATATTAATTGATAAAATAAGAATAAAGTAAGAATGATTTTGAGCCACACAAAGTTTACCAAATAAGGTATGAGACAATTAAATAGGGACATCCCAATATGGTAAAACGGGACATTTAAAAGGGGACAGAGGGAGTACTACGTAGTACAAAATTGCTTCAAATATACTATCGTAATAATCATAGACAAAGAGAATGAATATGACTAACTAATACTCAAAATAGGACTCATTTCATCTTATTGCAAGTATGAATAAACTTTCTCAATTAAGAATGAATAGTCTTATTTTAGAAGGGAAAAAATGATGATTGTCATATTTTACACTTTCTTAATGTGTATACTATGTACTAATGTACCTATTAAAAATGTCCTCTCCAATATTAAACTCTACACCTTTTGTTGTTATTGCAAGGAACTAATGAGTTAGGTGACGGAGTACTTCAATCCGGCCTTGCATTTCAAATTCAGTTAAAAGGAAGTACACTTATAGTCTTATTTTTGGTTATCTCTAAACGAATATCATGTTTCTTTTTAGGTAAAAAGGATATGATCCATATCATTTATTTTATTCTACTCAAATCTCAATCACAACTTTTATTTTTCATTTAGTTTATTAATAATCGTGTCAAACAAAAATAATATTCCGTATGTGATGAACTCCCTTCATCCCGCTATGATTGTCCCAGACACTATTCACTTGGTCAACACAAATCACTTTTAATCTCTTACTTTAAATATCAATTTTTTTATCAAATTTGATTCTGATTTTTGCGACTTTGTAAAGAATTTAATGCAGTTTTTGAATCTGTAATTTTTTTCCCCCTAAAAATAACTTGAGTGCAGACAGGAGTCTGTTTGCTTTATCGTCGGTCAAGCATCGTAAATCGAATTGTTCCAAACATAGTGGGATGGAGGTAGTACATAGTAACTTTTAGGAAAAACTATCAATTTGGTCCCATACTATCATATAAAAAACAATTAGGTCCTCATATTTAAAAAAATTCAATCAAACCTCCGTACTTTGAAAAAATGTTCAATTGAACTTATTAGCAAGTTACTCATCACGTCAAAATGTCACCCGCTGACGTGGCGCACACATGACGGTTCACATGTATGTCACGTCATCCGAAAATGACTAGATGGGCATCACGTCAGCAAAATCACTGGTGACCAAGCTGCCACATGTGTGACATGTTAGCAGGTGACCTAGCAGGTTGTGATTAATATTTGAAATTATAAAATCTAATTGACTTTTTTGTGATAGTACGGTAATTAAATTGACTATTTTTCCTATTTTATACAAAAACTTTGAATCTCACCATTTTAGTCATTTGAATATGGTGAAAAAAATAAATTAATACTCGATTTTCTAAGCAAGAAGAAGAGCAGACTGAAAATGGCTTACCAAGAACATCGCCGACTTGGAAATATTTGGAAGCGGACCATTGCGAGTAAAAATCGTTGACCTTTGTACAATTGTTCCATCCAACCTCTTCTCCCACCTTGTAAACTTTGGTACCCATTGCCAACTCCATTACTACAACAATGGCGATCAAAACCGTCATCATCATTACCAATGGCGAAACCTTCTGAGACATGTCTAATACTCTGTAGCTAATTCCAGGAAAAAAGTTGAGCATTTTTAGTCATGGTGTCTTTATATACGCAGTACATACTAACATACGTACAAGGCAATAATATAATTCACAATAGGTAACAATTTCTTACCATAGACGAGTAATGTAAAAGACTTGGAATATCTTTCAACTTTTTAATAGTTATAATACAAAAATGCTCTCCATCAACTCGTGGTGCCTGCAGCCTTGGAAGCCGTTTGGAACCACTAATTTTTACCAAACACGCAATTTTTACTTTCGTGCGTTGAAAAGTAAAGTTGGAATTACTTTTCTGCCTGTATTGGTTGAAGTTACTCTAGATGATCATTTTAGCTATTTTACATATGATTTTTTCTTTATTTTATCAATAAAATATATTTAAAAAATATTTTTTTCTTTAATGTAGCCACTTCAACCAAAACTTCATAAATTTCAGCAGAATCAGCCAAAACAGCCGATTTTTGTGCTACCAAACGGGCTCTTAGTTTTAAAATAGGGGTAATTTAAGTTTGCACCCAATATTATTATCTAAATTGGACTTTGCATCTCGTTTTTAAAAATCTTTGTTTTGCACCCCAACCCAATATGAAAGACCAAAATGTCCCTCCATTAACTATTTGCCTTTAACATATTCCTGGTCGAGGACATTTTAGTCTTTTCATATGAGATTGGGATGCAAAAACAAAGATTTTAAAAACGGGGTGCAAAGTCCAATTTGAACAATAAAATGAGATGCAAAATCAAATTATCTTTAAAATACCACATACGAAGTATTAAATAGTATAGACCTTAAGCAAATACTACGTACAAAGTAACAAAGGGATGTTGTCAATACTTAAGGATAAATAACATACAAGGAAAAAAGCTGAATTAGCAGTAAACTCATATTATAACGTACAAAAGGCTTTAAAATAAGGAAATAAATTTAAAAAGATTTACATGATCAACAAAATACCAAAACAAAATATATTAGCCAAAGATGGTCTAGCACATAATTTATACAGACAAACTTTACATTTTGCTAGTAGTAGTGTACGTAGTACACGTAATTTTTATTGTTTACTAATAAGTAATACTGTAATAACTAATAACCTACCGAGTAATAACATATTTGTTCGTGGAGGGAATATTTGTTATACACATTTCATTCAATTCAATTCATTTTATTTGCTTTTCGTTCTACTTCACATTGTTTAAGTGCAATTGAGAACAAAACAGTTTGACAATCTTTAAGAATGTCATTTTTGCAATCTCTTAAGAGGCCTTTGATTCATTTTAATCAAATAATTCCAATAAAATAACTTTAGTAAAAGTTAGAACATATTAAAGGGGTGTTTGAATTGTTTTCGCTTTTCCTTAAAAAAACAAAAAATAATCAAAATCAGTTTTTCGAAAATATAATAAAAAATTACATCTAAAAGCAATTTGAAACACTAAAAGTACTTACGTGCAACTTAAACACTCCAATATATGCTTCTTAAGGAGCAGAAATCATTTTAAGAAGAAGATCCAAACACCCTAAAATTTGTATTCAATCTTAAAAACTCAAAATCTTAGACCTATATTTGAGTTTGTAGCTTGATAGTTCTGATTGTTCATTAAGATGGTAGCTCCTTATATACATGAGACCAATATAAAAGTTCATGTACTCATTTTTCAGACTTAGGGTATGTTTGGCACACAACTAGCTGAAAAGATATTTTTGTGAAGTTTTTAATAACTGTTAGTTTTTAGTGACTGAAAAGATCTTAAAAAGAAAATGTGGTAGCTGTTTGGTTGATAGCTGACTGTTTGATTTAGTTCGGTTTGGTATACAAGCTGTTAGGATTAATTAGTACTAAAAGTCACTACTCACGAACTTTTCTCAGATCTACTCCCTGTAGCATCTCAAAAAAGATCTTTTAATTTTTGAAAAGCTCTTAAAAATTGTCATTCCAAACATACAATTAGAAGCTTTTAGAAACTTTTTGAACAATACAAAAGCTAGAAGATGGGGACTTATGCCTATAGTCATGGACCCGGGCCGGGCCGGGCCCGGCCGGGCTTTTTTTTGGGAAGGAAGGCCCGGGACCGGCCCGGGTAGCCACCGGGTCCGGTCCAGGTCCGGGCCGGGCCGGGCCGGGCCTCCGGTTCGGTCATAATATATATATATATATATATATATATTTTGCTTTCCTAACCCCCCTACTCACCCCCCCCCACCCCCCCAAACCCCTCCTAACCATCAAACCCAACCCGGCTAACCCCAAAAAATGAAAAAAAAAATAAAAAAAAATCAATTCGGCCCGGGCCCGACCCGGCCGGGCCGGTTCGCCAAATACAAGGCCCGAGCCCGGACCCGCCGCCCCCACCGGGCCTAGGCCCGACCCGGACCCGTACCCAGACCCGAGAACCGGGCCGGTTCCGGGCTTGCACAGTGGCGGGCCGGGCCGGTCCCGGATCGGGCGGCCCGAACCGGGTCAATGACTATATGCCTGTCAAACATAGCCTTGATCTAATTGTTCATGTGAAGGTTCGAAACATCATAATAAAGTTCGACCGAACAAGAATGGTAGTTTAATGTCTTTATATGTGAGTTGTTAGAAGATCCCCAAAATTTGGACAATGGGACAGTGTGCATTGAAACTGCAGAAATTTGGCGTATTGCTTGATTTCTATTACTGTATTATTTAGAACTAATTAGTGTTAACATGGGATCAGAGAGAGCTGTTTGCTTGTTAGGGTGAACAGTTACAACAAAATGGACTCATTTGCCATGAGATTTAGCAACGAAAAAAGGTCTTGCCGGACATATAGTTTATTACTGGTATTGCACAGCAGTTGAATAAGCACTGTCTACTCATGCTGAGTAGGAAGCTTAAATATATCATCACCAGCAACTGATGCTTCGTCACCATTGTTATCATCATCAGCAGCAACCGAAGATGATGATTTCTCGGCATCAGAATCTGAACCCAAATTAGTAGTATCTAAACACAGGACCCCTGATGGTTCTTCAGCACCACTTTCTGGATGATGACTGTAATAATCTTTTACCATCATCCAGAAGGCGGCCAACTTCTTATCGTCCTCTCTCATCCTCTCTGCATACTCGTTGATATCAAAGCCGCCTCCACTACCCTTCCCACCAAATGCGGTTTCCAGTTGACTTGTTTCAAACAGGTCCTCCATCATCTTCTTAGAATTCGGGTCATCTGAGTACACAAATTTGACTTTCTTTGTAGTCTTAGGCTCCAGAAACGGCTTCGCCACCTGCAATATCATTCACTTTTATTCATGTAATAATAACGGTCTCTCTTTCTCCCTCTCTATATATATGTATATGTTTTTCTTTACTTCCTCAAGTTTTATACTAAGGTAACAAAACTTCGAACTCTCATCCTACCCAACATGTATATCCTATCAAACAAACCAAACCAATGTGATGCATACACACATAAAGAGGGATACAGTCATACAGGAAAGATCCGGTTAAAATTCCAATATGCCCAGCTTTTCGATTTCGACCTAAAGAAATTCATCATCATTAACCCAGTGCCGCAAAGGCTCCCACCTATAGTGGGGTAAGGGGGTTGAATGTACACAGTCTTACCCTTACCCCTCTATTAAAGCAGAGAGACTGTTCCTAGATACCCATAGTGAAAATCGCGTAAAATTTGCATGGAATGACTATTGCTTCATAACAAAGAAGCACAGACAGATTAGTGAGTCATTGTGCTTTATTCCATCATATTTTTAAGCCAAAAAACAGTGAGTCTTTGGCTCCATTGCAATTCAATGACCTAATGAAATTCAATAGTCCAAATAATGTCGCTCATAGTATCAATTATCAAATATTAAATTTATTCATTCTATCAGGTCAATTGATCAATAATTCATTTTCACTAAACATAACTCCATTATTAATGATGACTTAATCTTAACTATTAGATTAACTCCAAAGGAAACAAAATGAGTCCCTAGTGCCAATTAATGGTTAACGATTGATACTAAAAAAATCTAAGCAACATTATGGCCAAAATGAAAAATTACATGAAAGCGGTGGAAGACCTATATAATCAGGGCCGGTCCTGACATATTTGAGGCCATGTTCAAAACTATGTTGGAGGCCCTAAAATATAAAATGTAATATTAGTAATAGTAATTTATACTCCGTATTTCCATCCATAATAATACTAAAATATAGTTGCACTCATTCCGTATGACAATAAAAATAAAATAAAATGAAACAAAGTAAAGGGCAGGGGAAGCAATCTCAGAAGGAATTGAGAAGTTCCCTCTGCACTGCTCTTCTGAACTTCGGCCTCCTGCAATCCCACCTCTGCCTAAGGCTTTGAGCTCTTGAATATTGTCAGAAATTAAAAGAAAGTAACTGAAAAGAAGCTTTAAAGGCTCAAACTCTTTGAAACAAGGAGAAGAATTCGCCTCCTCGTTCTTGGGAACCTTTCGGACTGATTGAATTCTAGAAGATTGTGTTTTGATTTATGAAAAATCAGATCCATGCTCCAAAGGACTAACGCAACACTAATAAAATTTTATTTTTCCTAAGGCCTAATATATACTACGTATATGATAGCAAGAATAGGGGGGCCTCCTTGAAGATGGGGCCCTGTTCAATTGCACCGTTTGCTCTTGGCCAGGGTCGGGCATGCTATATATGATCGAAAGTGTTCATACGAACACCGAAAACTTTAAAGAAGTGCAAAAATACATGTATAGAAATGATGTAATGATTCGTTGTACTTTACTTGTACAATATTTCATGATTTTAGCTTCACTTACCAATTTTCTTGTTGTTGAGAAGATGTATGTGTAGTGTTATTTAATCAAACTATTTTATTATTTAAAACTTTAATTATAAAATAATTTGAGCACCCAAAACTGAGGTGTTAGATATGCCACTGCATGACAGTCATGCCTAAATGGAATACTTCTCAATATGT